AAGCCTGTGTGTCGTCTGCAGGCAGGGGAAGGCCTTGTCACCTTTGGGCATCTTTCACGGGACCGAGATCAGGGCAGCACACGACAGGCCCTCGGCAGGCGGTGAATCAGTGAAATGAGGGATGAGGGACCCAGAAGAGCACCCAGCACATGTCTCCTTAAGGGGGACTCGAGGGGACCATGCCCCAAAGCCCAGTCATCGCAGCTACAATGACCACACGGTCCAGCAACCGCAGCCCTGGCCCCAGGATGGCAGGAGTGAAGGGGCCAGTGGGGCAGCCATCATGCAGTCCCCACGAGCCCCAGGGACAAGGCGCCGGGAGCAGGCGCCGCCCACCTGGATGGCGTCTTCGATGAACACCGCAGCCTGGTCCAAGCACAGATCCCGCCTGGCCACGGCACCTGCGGGCAGAGGGGACACGTAGGGTGGAGAGGGGCCTCGGAGGCGCTCGCCCGCTACAGGGCCACCGAGAGCAAGGCAAGAACCCGGCTGCATCCTTTCCGAGGCTCTGGGACGAGACGCCGCTTGCCCAGCAGCGTGTCCGTGCACGCCCACAGGGCAGGACCCCTGAGGGCTGGGGCCCAGGTGGGGCAGGGTCTGAGCACGGGCTCCGGGCCCAGAGGAACAGCAGCTCCCACGGTTCCCACCCCCTGGGGTGGAGTGGCAGAGGGCACAAAGCAGCCAGCGGCGTCCCGGGCTCAGGGGGCTCAGACCCCGGCTCCGCACCTACTGGCTCAAAGGCTGAGGGCCGTGGGCTTAAGCTCACTGTGCCCATCTTCCCCCTGTCAAATGGGGGTGGACCCCAATGCAAGTGCAGGACCCCCCCAGGGTTGGCCCGGCACACAGAACGTGCTCACAGCCACCCTTCTGCCCCGTCCCACCACCAGCCTCCAGGTGACCTTTGTCAGGACGCTGCACCCCAGCTTACACGACTGGAAGATGGCGCAGCGCTACCGGCCTACCCCCTCACCAAACAAGATCACAGATTTAACACTCACACAGGAAGATGATATCTAGAAGCTTGAGGCGCTGCGTGACCCTCCATCAAATACTGAGCACTAAGAAGGACCTTCTGAGGCCATCTTGGCCCCTGCTTGTGTCACGGGCCCACAGGGCCAGGCGACTGCAACCGAGTCACCCCGAGGGTGGGAGGCGAGGGAACCTTCACCAACCAGGGACTGCGGTCCTCGGGGCCAGGGAGGCTGGAGTGGTGCCGGTTCCTGACTAGGAGGGGCCTTCAGGACAAGTCACATGGCTCAAACCTCTGGTCTGTCACCTTGGCCTAGGGTTCTGCCCACCGCGTGGTGGGCAGCTTTGCACAGAAGCCTGATGTAAAGGGCCAAGAAAGGCATGAGGAGCCGCAGCTCATAGGACAAAGGACCCCCCAGAGAGGCCCCAGAGAGGGCGCAGCCCAGGCCCCGGGGGGGCAGAGCCGGCACACAGCCCGCAGCAGCTCCCAGATCCGGGCTTGGAAACAAGGTGAACAGGCCTGTCACCATTTCTGTTGAAGACTCTACTTTCACATCTGCCCTTGAGCCCAGCAGCTGCCCAAACCGCCCTTAACCGGTACCGAGAGATGCAGAGATGTAGAGCCCAGAGGCGGGGGAGGCCGGGCACCCGGGCAGAGCTCTGGGCCCCTGCCCACTCTGCCTGCCGACCCCAGGGACGCAGCTGCCGCTGTCCTCAGGGCCTGTGCCCACCGGGGACCTGGGGGACCCTGGACAGAGACAGGAGGCTGGACTCTGTCCTGTCTCTGCCATCACCTTGCTGTGTCACCCATAAACAGCACCCTCCTCCGTCTGGGCCTCAGATTCCTCCCGTGGACGACCTCCATGCTCACGTGAGGGGCCGAAAAGTTCTCCCAAGGAGGCTCTGAGGGTGGCGACTGCCTGCTTCCCCTGGAAGCGCCCGGGAACGCTGTGATGTGAAGGCACCCTGTTTTGTTCCCTGCTGTACCCACAGAGCCCAGGACAGCATGGGGCTTGGCACACAGCAGCCCACAAGTCCCACTGATCGACTGAGTGAACAGCCGAGGGGAGCCTGGGAGGGCAGGGTGGTCTGTGGGGCCGCGAGAGGCCCCACGTCACCAAATCCCCGGTTGAGAATGGGACTCAGCCTGGAGAGATCCAAGGAGACAAGCTTCCTGGATAAGCAGAGACAGGCAGCCAGGGCCCCCAGAGCTCGCTCCGGGGCCAGGACCGGGTGCAGCGGAAGGGGCTCCCTCTGGCCACCCGGCCCTCAAGGCACCAAACCTCAGGAAAGCCATCCCACACTGCTCTGCGGCCCCAACACCAGCCTCCCCTTCCCATCCTGCAGTGGCCGGAGGGATCCTGTCACAAACCCTCAGATGGCAATCACGGCGTTCCGTGGGTCCCCACTGCTCCAGGAGAAAGTCCACATTCCGCCCCCAGCCCGGCAGCTCAGGGGCACACCCCGCCCGCCTCGCCTGCCCGCCTCCTCCCCTGCTGCTTCCTCCACCCTGTGCCCTCCACGCCACTCACCCTGAACTTGGCTCCGCCAAGGCCAAGCTCTCCAAAGCCTCCCAGGCTGTCGGCCCTACCAGCACTGTCCCCCAGCTTGGCATCTAGGGACTCATTGCCTCAGGTGGCGATCAGCTGTCCGCGCCCCCCCACCACTGTAGAATGTCGGAGCACAGAGGACATGGGGGCTCGAACACCTCAGCCCTGCACTGGTCCCCCGGCCCCAAGCCTGCCCTCCCCAACATCCCAGAATAAACCCCCCTCCCCCTCTGGCTCCAGCCCCTGCCCACTCCCCACTACCTGGGTGGGGTCCTGACTAGCTGCCTCTGTGACCCTGGACAAGCCCCTTACCCTCTCTGTGCCTCAGTTCCTGCGGGCCCTACACAACAGGACTGATGGGCAGGCTGAATGGGTTACTGTAGCTACACTGCTATACACAGTAAGCTCTTCATAAACATTTGCTATTATTGTTATTCTCAAAGCCCCTTCTATGGCACAGTGACCCCTTGTCCTCTGACTTTTCCATAACCAGTAAGAGGGTTATTCCCTGACCAGGAACAGGAAGAGAAAACGACTATCCCCACCCTGTGGTCACGGCCCATGAGGTGGGGCTGGGTCTGGACCTGACCACCGGGCCCACTGGGGTCCACGGAGCACCCAGCAGCAGCCCTCCCCCACCCTTGTCGGTAGGAGAGTCCAGCTAGCTGCGGACAGGCGGACCCTGAGCTCAGGGCCCCATCCAGGAGCCCCGCACGGGAGCTGGGCAGAAACTGAATGAGGGTCTGCAGAGCCTGGCTGGACAGCCTGACCAGGGAACACAGAGTGTCCTGTCCATGTTCTCAGAAGCTCCCACCAAGGCCACAGTGTCGGGACAAAAAGCCGTCCCCAGGGTCCCCCCTCACCAGCCACACTGCCTGCCCCGGCTCCTGTCTCTAGGGTGGGTCTCACCTGCCCTCCATGCACTCTCCCGGGGCTGGACCTGCAGTGATCAGGGTTCTCCGCCCAGAATGGCCATCAGCACTGACATGCACCAGCTCTGCCACCTGGCAGGGCACCTGGACTCTGAATCCTCACAACGCCCTGACCACCCCCCTTTTATTGAGACTCAGAAAGGTTAGGCAACCTGCCAAGGTCACACAGCCGGGAAGTGGCCTCCCGATGCAAAGGCTGCATCCCCTGAATGCCACCATGTCCAGGGCCCCGGGAGGTCTGGCACGGACTGGACGGAGAACTTTCCCAGGACAGCCTCTGAGATGGGCAGGTGGGCATGTTTTCCATCTCCTGCCAGGGACCTGCCCCAATAATCCCAGGACAGGCACACACTGCGAACCCCTCCCCAACAGAGGAGGAAAGTGAGCCCAGAGACAGAAGGTGGCCTGGAAGGGGCACCCAGTGTGGGTGCCTGCGGCGGCTGAGACAGATCCCAGGTCTGTGTTCTTGGACAGGTCCTGGACACTCTCTGGGCCTCAGTTTCCCCCTCTGCAAAATGAGGCTGAGGCTCTTCCATCCCTAACCCAGCACCCAGTGCCCTTGGGGTCTGCCAGGGACAGAAGGATTTCACCCTCCCCGCCCTCCTTGGGTTTCAGCAATCTCTCTGTGGTCAAACAGGAAGAGCAGGATGGAGCTGCAGAGAAGGAAGGAAGGAAGCCGCCCCGGTCTGGGGAGGCCTGCCCCAAGCCGACGCTGAAGGAGGAAGCTCACAATTCACTCCCAGCTGGGTTCGAATCCCACCTCGGCCACTTCCTGGCTGTGTGACCTTGGGTAGGGGAACGCCCTCACTTTCTGTGCCTCACTTTCCCCCCCCCCCCCGTAACCACGG